CCCTATGTACTCAGCGTTGGCCAAAGACAGCTGGTGTGCCTTGCCCGCAGCCTGCTGAGGAAGACCAAAGTTCTGGTTCTGGATGAGGCCACAGCGGCCGTTGACCTGGAGACAGACAGCTTGGTACAGAAGACGATCAGAGAGGCGTTCCAGCACTGTACTGTTCTCACCGTGGCTCACCGCCTGAACACTGTGATTGATTACGACAGGTAAGGAGGAAGGGGAATGTGGGTGGTTGGCGGGTGTGCTGGTGTGGTTTGCTCCTTCTTTCCTATAAAAAACTATTGTCCTTCTCTCTCCTCCTTTTTTGTGTTTGTTACTCTCTTGTAACTCCTCCTTTTTTGTGTTTGTTACTCTCTTGTAACTCCTCCTTTTTTGTGTTTGTTACTCTCTTCTAACACCTGTAATCATCTGCACTTATATGACCTAATTGTGTTGCAAAAACCGTAAAACTCTTACTAAAACTAAAAGGAAGGGGAATGTTGTTGGTGTTGTTGTTAGCGATCCAGTAGCATCTGAGCTTTGACTCTTCTGCATGGTGCCATTCTGTAGTAGCTGCATGTCTGTTCTAATTATTGTCTTGAAGAGTAGAGGCAGTTAGATGTGTGATGTAGCTTGGGAAGAAAACATCCACTCAGATCGGTTGGTTTTCTACAGAAGAACAGATGATGTTCCACTGTCTCTGAGGGGTAGTCACCTAGTGGGCAGGCAGCAGACTGCTTTACTCCACTTCGGTTGAGATGTTGATTGAGGGGCACATGTTGGGAAGGGGAATGTATGCAGAAAAGAAGTGCTACTAGCAGGCAGGAATCATCAAAACCATCACGTACATGATACAAGATATACCACTCAATCACAGCAACCTGTTCGTGGTGTGCACAAGACAGGAATAATAAATCTACACACGTGTAGTCGATTACTCAATTAATCATGACATCAGCTGACAACAATTTATACATACAAAGGATAATTGTATGGTAAGGTAGTCATGAGGGTGTAATGCCCCTTTTAATACACTGTAAGGTTATTTATGTTAGGCAGTACCTCTAGATTCAACATCCATCTCGGATTGGACTGAGTCATGTGGCAAGAGAGCCGTGACAATTTCCAACACAAATAGAGTTCAAGAACACCCTAATTATCATTCCAACTGGGACCATTTGCTCCATAGCCCAGCTTGATGCCAACTGAACGTTCAGTGGACCTGGTGAGGAGGAAAATAATTAATGATCTTTAATCTTTTCATATCAAGTATCTATGAAATATGACACGTTCAACTTTTTTGTAAGTGTAATGTAGACAAAGCAGTACTGTGCATGTACGACAAGTAGAATCTAGCAAGGCTTCTAGTCCTCTAGAACTTAATTTTATTTCTGCCCTTGCTAAAAATCATAATATTGTGTATATGAAAGTTTTTGGGATAACTAAAAATCATAATATTGTGTATATGAAAGCTTTTGGGATAAAGAAGTATTACTGTTGGGTAGTCTTAAATATGTGAAGAGAGGCCTGAAAAACACAACAAACATGCCTTGCTTACGTGGCTTTATACTTGTAGAGACTTTTAAGGGTAGCCATGTTTTTGTTGCACATGTTTTTCTCCCCATAGCGGTTTGCTCTTTACTCTGTACATTGTACATTGTCATAGCTTCTTGAGCACCTTTGAGGGATTGACAAAAACTGGAAGTGCAATAATTTTATAGAGGATGTGTAATATTTTTATCATAACAAGAACTCCAGATTTATTATGTACGGCCAGTGCTATCTTTATCTACACTAACATAAAATAGGGGTATGATTTTATGTATTTTGTTGTTATCAGGGAGAAACAAGGGTTAAGATTTGTCCTATATGCTGTTGTGCCCCTTAATAATTTCCCATGTAGTTTTGTTTGAGTCTTGACATATTTCCCTTTTGTTTTGTTTGTTTTTTCTCAGGATTTTGGTGCTGGACAAAGGAGAAGTCCTTGAGTTCGGAACACCAGATCAGCTACTCTCAAACAAGCAGGGTGCATTTTACAGCATGGCTAAGGAATCGGGCTTGATTTAAAAAGTAGTTTCCGTGGTCCTGCTTGCTGCTGAGGACATGACTGCTCAATCAGTTCGTCTCTGTTGTTGTTGACAGAGAATGACTGAGTATGTTTTATGGAATTTCGTACAGTATACTTCACATATTGGTCCTGTTTCGGAAGAGGGCCTATTTGCACTTGCAAAGAAAAGCAATGTTGTTCAGGATAGTCTGTCATTTGGTCCAGGTAGACACCAACCAGACTTTTCTTAAAGATAATCTGCCCTTTTTCTTTCATTACGAAGCACTATCATCACCCCAGAAAAGGTGGAACTGTGGTTTTTCTCGAAATTTGTCATTTTTGATAATGGCTTTTGTCTCTCCAATTTCTTTACCATTATGTTTTTGGACAAAAGTTACTTGTTTTAAAGAGTGTGATATTCAGTACAAAGTATCTTCTCAGGATGTTTTGTGTCTATTGATGCAAATTTTGTCCCTGAACATCGTAGCATACATTCAGGAGGCTAATACTCACGAAAAAGAAAATTAGACATGTTTATTTGCCTGTGATTTGCCTGTCTCTTTTAACTAATAAGACGTTATGTTTAAAATGAAACAAATGCACTTTCCTAAAAGGGCCTCTTCTGTATTTACAGGGTTTTTACAAATCTATATGTATTAGACTATAAAATTAATTTTGTGCCATTGGAGAGCTGAAGCTTTTGACAAAGTGCCATTGTTGTTGCAAGAAAAATGAGTGTCTTCTTCCTCGTTCTTGAGTGTAACTCCGTGCGAACCTGGTTTTTATGGAGTTAAACATTTGTCTTGTAACAAGCAAGGATACTGTGAACCTTGCATCCTCTGACATGGATGCAAATGGGGAACATTCTTCCCTCAATAATTTTACCAAAACATTTTCTTTTCAGTCTGGTCTTTTGATAAGGGCATAAATTGCATCTTACATTTATTTACTTAACTCTTAACTCTTAACTTTATTGTAATCAATTGTATCCTGTTATATTTCTGTTACCTCCTTTATTGAAGCAAACTCACAATTTTTACAATAAAACTTCAGACAAAAGCGTGAGAGTAGCAATAGTGACTTACTCAATAACGGCAATGATAGCGGCATAAATTATACATTAAAAGCAGCACAAATCGAGGTACAGTCATTGCGTAATGGTTATGTTCTTCATCATATTACACAGAAGATGTGAGTTTGATTCCAAAGTGGGGAAGTTTCTTTATCAGTTCTCTCTCTCTCTCTCTGTCTCCCTCTCTGTCTCTGTCTCCCTCTCTGTCTCTCTCTCTCTGTGTCTGTCTGTCTGTCTGTCTGTCTGTCTGTCTGTCTCTCTCTCTCTCTCTCTCTCTCTCTCTCTCTCTCTCTCTCTGTGTCTCTCTCTCTCTCTCCCTTTCTCCCTCTCTCTCCCTCTCTCTCTCTCTCTGTCTCTCTCTCTCTCTCCCTCCCTCCCTCTCTCCCTCTCTCTCTCTCTCTCTCTCTCTCTCTCTCTCTCTCTCTCTCTCTCTCTCTTTCTCAGCAGCCCTCCTCACCCATGATCTAAGTTTTGTCAATGGAGGCATAAACGTTTGTGATCTTTTACAAACTGGGGAATATTCCACAGTAAATATTAATTTTATTAATTTTTTTTCCACTACTCTGATTGATTTATTTATTGATAATTTTAGTTTGTAGAGGGTAGAAAATATTTGTTCCTGTCATCTTTTTTGTAATTCTGTCAACAAAAGAGCCATAAGTGGTACAACTTTGTGTCTTTTGTGCATAGATGGTTTAAAAAGCTGATGTTACATCATTACAGTACTATAATGCGTGCCTTGATTTAAAAGAGCTTATTTCTGCACCCCGCTGTCTTCGTTAAAATTGATTAAATGAATCTAGTTTTTGGATAAAGGCTAATTTTTATCTTTTTCCTAGTCAAGTTGTTGAATTTTTTATGTACATGTTGCTACAAAAGTAAGTTGTCATGCACTGATAACTGATAACCCTTTCAAGACATTTATTTGCCAAATGATTCATGTTTCTCAACCACCTTGGCATTATTTGTTTCTGTGGAAAGCAGGCAATACAAAGAAAGCTCTTTGAAGCTCTTTGGTCCCTTTTCTCAGTTTTATGTTTTGAACCACAAATTTTTATAAGATTTCACATGAAAGATTTATCGATGATACTATTATAGTAGTGTTTGCAGCTGATTAAGCTGTGCATTTCTTCAAGTATTAGCAACAAACAAAGAAGAAGAAAACAAAGCATATGAAAGAAAATATTATAGTGGCAGCGAACTGGACCGTTACCACTGGTGCAATAACAGTACTGACATGACTTTAATTAATCATGCCATAAAAGCTGATAAAGCTTGTTGGAATATCAGTGTATTCATGTTGAGATATCAGTGTATTCATGTTGAGATATCAGTGTATTCATGTTGAGATATCAGTGTATTCATGTTTTCCCCTGTTAATGATCATGTGCCAATATTGTTTTAGACTGTGCAGGCTATTGCCTTGTCACAAAACTTGGGGTAACATTTTTATCTAAGGTGATGTTCCTTATTTTTTACTTGTTGGATTTTTTTTTTGCTGTTGGCTTTTCACTTCATACTCATTCCGACAAGCTGTGTTATGATGAGGCAGATGTGTTTACGTTGGTGTGACACTCATTTGGTTATCTCTTGTTGTATTTTTAAGAGTTTAGATTTGCTTTATGTTCTTTACATAGTGGGAAGGCGTAATCTGTATACATGACAGTAGATTTTATGATGCTGGTGTATCTGACTTAATTTTCACCTGGAATACCTGAAGGTGTCATCTCGGACTCAGAGGTCGATGTGCCATGATCTCCACCCTTCACAGTCATGAGCTGCCATTGCACATTTTGCTATACCCAAACCTGTCCACATTTTAATATTGTCCATCCATGTTACTCTTTGTTTACCCCTGGCTCTTGCACCCCAAATCTTTCCTTCAAGCACCTTTTTCACAATGGTGTGGTGCCATCTAAGTGACCAAAGTATTGTATTTTTCGACATTTTATTTTGTTAAGCAGGGATTGTCTTGTGTGGCAAATCTGACACACCTCATTGTTCGTCTTTTTTGCTTTCCAACTAATTCTGGCCATTCTGCGGTAGCACCAGATCTTAAATGTAGCTATTTTTTTTCTCCTTTATTTGTTAAAGTCCAGGTCTCAGCAGCATTATATGGAGAAGATGCAGCATTCCACCATTTTCTTTCTTAACATTTTGCCCCCACGGGACGCTGATCGGCAACAGTGTGATATAGCAACAAAAACGTAGCAGCAATGATCTCCTTTTTGACATACCCCTTTGTTAAGGCTAAATTTTCTTTCTGAATGGTTTGTGTGGCCTTTGAGGTAGGAAATAGTTACAACTGTTGGAGTAAATTTTTTGGAAAAATGTTGAGTAGACGTAGCATGAATGCTGCTTTACTCTTACGCCATGATAAGAGTTGGGATAATGAATGAGCTAGATCTAATGTTTTCAGTAATTCCTTTTTTGGTGAACATGCGATCATCACTTTCATTTTTCTCAGTATGCTAAATATGTCATAATGGATGGGGTATTTTTTTCCAAGATTCTGGTATAGTACTAATGTAGCCGTGGGGATAAGTGTTGTGCGCGCTGCATGGGTGGAAAGTGTTAAAGCTAGAGATAGTTGCCTGGATGTTAATAGTTTGTGCATTTGGCTAAGTTTTGTTTTTGCATTTGCTGTACTTATATTTATTTCTTTTACACTTCTGCCGTCATCTGTGATTGTTGCCCTTAGATATTTGAATTGGTGTACTTGTTCGATTCTCTCCACATCTATGGTTAATTATATCTGTAGTTTTTCCAATAGATATTGATATGACCATTGTTTTTGTTTTCTTGGTGTTCCTGTCGTGCCTTGCTGTTCTCTTTGACTACTGTCACAATTTTGGAAAGACATTTGCTCGTGTTTGTAAGCAGGATTCTGCATATCTAAGGTAATTGATGTTGCGGCCCCCAATAGCGACTCCCTGTTCATCTTTGAGATTCTCTCTCTTTTTTTCTTTTTTTTTTTGGTAAGTGTTTTACGGCCCTTGCAACTGCAAAAGGTCATATGAGCACGCGGGACACACCTAATATTTTCAGTTGGTAGGAAATTTTGAATTTTGCCCGGATGGCGGCAGAAGCCTACTTTTATTGAATTTAGACCACCAATGGATCTTTCGTGGGCAACTTGTACACAAGCCCTCCAAGATTTTTCGCCCTTGTCCGAGAAGGCTAGGTGTAGCTCTTTCCTGCCAGAAGATCAGGGGTGTGGCAGAAAGACAGCAGGAAGAAGGAGCCAAGGAGTAGCAGTAGGAAGGCTGCAGAAAGAGTCAGGAGTCCAGAGGATGGGGCAAAGAAGGTGAGGGGTGGGGGCAGAAAGAGGAGACGAAAGCAGACGACAGAACATTGCTAGAGAGCAGGAAAGGAGGGGAAAGGAGACAATTTTAGAGAAAAAAACATTTCCAGTTGCCACCCGGATTTGAACCCGCGACCTTGGAATGAGAGGCCAACACCTTAACCTCTAGGCCACGAGAGCCCCCATTGAGATTCTCTAAAAATAAACTCTGTATAGATGAAGATGTTCAAAAGGTAGGGGGAGAGGACACAACCTTGTCTCACTCCTCTATGGATTTCCGTAGATTCTGATAATCCATTGTTCCCTTTAATTTCTGCCTTCTACTAGAGATTTCCTATGACTCTGATATCTTTGCCATCAATACCTATATTCTTCAAGCAGTTTATCAGCCTAATGTGGTGTATTCTTTCCAAAGCTTTTGAGTAATCAGTAAAATAAGCAAAGAGCTCTTTTTGAACTTGATGTTTTTCTGTGCCAGTGTGTTCGTGCTGAAGATTCCTTGTCTGGTGCCACTTCCAGACCTGAACCAACCCCCCCGGGGCGGTGCCACTGACTGTAGTGTCTTTAGGCCATTCCCAAAGGGGGACATTTCTCGTTCTAATGCACAGCAGAATTATAAATGGACTGATTCATGTCACGCTCATAACTGCCTGATCTACAATAGGGAACTGCTGCTTTTTCTTTCCTAATCCTTACTATTGTCATTTTCCTCTACTTCTTTTGTATGTTTGTCACACTCTTATGACCTGCTATTTCCGGGGTGCCTTGATAGTCGAAGCAGACCTTGTGCTGTTGAAGATAGAGAGGTGAGCAGAGTAAGTCTGATTCCCTGTAAAGACTTCTCTGTTGACACCCACCCCTTGGCGCTCATATGACCTTATGCAGTTGCGAGCGCCGTAAAACCCTCTACTATATATATATATATATATATATAGACCTGAATCCAAACTGTTCATCTCCAATTTCTTTGTCAATTTTGCCCTAGGTTCTTTCCAAAATGACTTTCCAAAATATTTTCAGGATATGGTCCTGAAGTCAGCTCATTTTGTGGCTTTTTCTTTTTTGGGGATGATAATATAAACTGATTGGAATAGCTCTTGTGGTATATGTCAAGAGTCATAGATGTCATTGAAAAGTTGTCATAATTTAGTTATATTATTATTATGAAGCTTGATTTGTTTATTTTTGCTTGATTGGCTTCAGCTTTCAGTCGATAATTTTTTATTCTGGGTTTTCCTTGTAACTGAGTTTATGTACTGTACTGCCTTTACATTTTTGCTTTGACTTTTGCGAATACTCAACCGTTTTTTAATCGACCTAGATGGGTCTTAAACTTAAATGAGATTCACTGAAATGAGTCTTCCTTCACTGAGTGCTATTTTTAAAATGTTTTAAAAATAATATGTCCTTTGGTTGAATCGTGGGAAGAAATAAAATTATTGAAAAATTCCTATGATGACAAATGGTTTGGCTTGATATTTGTATAAGTGTGGGTGTGGGTATGTGTGTGTGTGTGCGTGCATTATATTCATGCATGAAATTATGTTTGTTGCATTACAAGCAATTTTTGTAATTTATAATGTAGCATCTAAATTGCTTCTTTGTTGTTTTAAAAAAGTAGAATTCTTCATTTGGTGCTGAGTGATGTGGGCACTGTTGATAGGCTGCATATACATATAGACATGGGGGGGGGGGGAAATGCTTGAAGTTCTGAAATATCAGACGTCACAGTTTCTCCATCTTTTCTTGGCTAGTTAAGTTTGTTAAGAGAAGAAAGAATTGGAAGTTTTAAGCATTTTGGGTCCGTTTTTCTTTCATCAGGTAGACAGGGAGCCTGCAGTGTTTGGAGCGCACTGTTATCTTCTGTTGGTGTCATGCTGGCCTATAGATTGGGTGGCACTGGTTCCAATCCTCAATGGGGCATTCTCAAATATACTTAGCGTCAATAAAAACCAGACACATTTTAATTGCGTGTTTCATGAAAAGTTGAAAACCCATTTAGCTGAAATTTTCCACACGTGATTGTGAACACTTGACGCTCCTGATCAGCCTGCATTTATGATAAGGTGCCCAGTTAATAAAGCTCAAGTCTTGTTTTGTTATAAACCGTGTTTTGTCATTTTTCTCGAACGTTTTTGAATTTTTTATTTTATTTTATGGGTTTAACACATCTTTTATCTGTAGCCAAGAATAAAACGTTAAAAGTTTCATTTCAAAACATCTAAATCTAAAGATACAGCATGTTGCGTTTAACGAACTCGAAGAGCGCAATCAGGCAGTTGGTATGCTGAGGGCCAATACGCCGGTAGCGAATGTTGCAAGCACCTTCAATGTGACAAGAGACACGATATATCGACTAATGAATCGTTTGCAGACGTCTGGATCCGTGCAGGATGGTCCCCGGACGGGTCGTCCTAGAGCTACAACACCAGCCCATGACCGGTAAATTCGGGTCTTGCACCTACGAGATCGCTTCCGGCCTGCTACCAAGACAGCCAGGGAGTGGAAGGGACGGAGAACCATAAGTGCGCCGACGCCTTAGACCTCAGCCGGTCACCTTGGATCAGCTACGTACAGCACTTACAAACATATGGAACAACATTCCACAGCATCCCATACAAAGACTTGTGCGAAGCATGCGGCAGAGGTGCACATAAGTCGCCAATGCCCACGGCGGCTATACGCGGTATTAACTGTGACTTTTCATTTTAGGGCCTACAATTAAAAGATCAAATTTCAGGAAACAAAGTTCATTTTTAAAAATTGTTTTATGTGTAATTGATTTGTAAAATGTTCAAACTTTCCTTATAGAGAGATTGTTTCTGGTTAAAATCAGTCTTTCAATACAAAAAACACTAAAAAAAGGGGTGTCTGGGGTTTTTTGACGCCAAGTATAGTGTTGTTTGGGGGAGTTGTTAAAAGCTCTCCACATATCTGAGTTAGTCTTACTGGAGACAGGACTTTAAATTCAGAAGTCCCGCCTCTTGAATATATTACAGTGTTGAAATGGGTGTAAATCTCGCACAAGCACTGCATTGTGTACTAGTGAAATATTTCACCCTCCTACTCATAAGATAAAAGTAGGTGTCCCCTCAAGTTTTTCCAGTGAAAAACATCTCTGTAAACATAAAGCTGTCCCCGGGGGTTTTTATGCACCTTGCAAAATTTAGCTAAACTTGATCATTTTTTGCATAATTTCTGATTATATTCCTTTATCATTCTTTATTAAAATTAACAGAATCGCATAATTTCACAATTTTGGGCTCAGTTTGCCTAATTTCTTAATTTTTTTTAGCATAAAGCTGCGGGGACAGATAATAAAGGGTGTGCTAGTGTTAGTGTTAGACTGTGGCATCTGTCAGTACAAGAGAGAAGTGTCCACTTACTCAAGCTAATCTACCTTTCTCCAGAAACACCCCATAAACGACAGATGCTCACACACACACACACACACACACACACACACACACACACACACACACACACACACACACACACACACACACACACGCACACAAATGATTATACCTTTAAATTGATGCATATCTTCTGACCAGTGTCTCTTAGTGTGCAGACTTGCCTTAACTGTGTGCCAAACTTACTTAATGTTCCAAAAGTTTGTGTTTCCATTCGTTTTGTTTTGTTTTTTGCACGAACAATGAAGAAAATCTTGTGTAACTGTAACACTAGATCTATGGCTCAGTACTTCCATACAAACTCAACCTTGCGAGTGTGAGAATGTTGTAAACTATTGCTTATACGACTAAGTGTCTTCTAATGATATAATGATATACACGTAGAACAGGAAGGAAATAGAAAAGATAAAGACAAGGATGTATGCTTTATAAATGCTTTTTATTGAAAATCACATTGAAATTTCAAAGTTGATTTAAAAAATATAATAACATAACTCTTCCTCTAAAATTAAATCAATGTTCGACAAATTTAGGAAGTTTCATCTATCGTTTCAAGTCACCAAAGACAGTTTATACCATTTTTTTAATATTCTGAAAGCAAATGGCATCTTTTTGGCCTAAATGTAAGTAAAATAACAAGAAACGTTCCTAGTACCTGTAAATCCAGTTCTGGTGAATTCTATTTAGTTTTCATGAGAGTTTTCATCTTGCCAAAGACACCATGAACTCACGTTTATGCAATGCTTGGGTTTTTTTAAAGGGAAAGTATTATGAAACAAATTGATGACATAGTGACATTCAGCTGTGTGTGCCTTACGAAGGAAGTGCTTGAAACAATACGTAAAAGGAAAAGAACATTGACAAATAAGCAAATTTAAAAAGAAAATAGTAAATCACAATCACTCTATCATTGCATTGATTCAATAAATCACAAGAATTTGGGCGAGGGGTCAAAGGATGGGGGGACTGGGGGGGGGGTACATCGTTTCAAGGGCATACATTAACCAATGTTGCATTTAAAAAACAAATCAATAGTCAACATTTCTGTTACAGCAAGCATGAAAATGCAGACATAGAAAAATGTACACTACAACTGTCTACGATGTTTAGGTACTACTACCATCCGTTTCCTCCAAGACTTGGAAGTCCTGAGTAGCGCCTGCGGTAATACCGTCTTGTTTTCTCTTCTACTTTGATTGGGTTGTAGGCGTTCAGTTCTCTCTGCACCGGAGCTGGGCTGACGTTTGTAGAGCTGGTCTGGTTCTGATCCCAGAGCATGTTCATATACTGCGGACAGGAGATGGTTACATGATGTCAACTCAGTGATCACGGATAATTAATGACCGCAATATTCGTACTAAAGATGATTTTATAAGTTTTTGTTCACTTCAGGGTTTTTTGTTTTGTTTTGTGTTTTTTTGGGGGGAGGAGGATGCGAGGGTTCGCTTTCCCTTACTAAGGCTTTTTCTTTTCTTTTTTTTTTTGGGGGGGGGGGGGTGTAGTGTGTGACCATTTGTCCTCATGCATTAAGTTCCTAACATAACACCCAACCCACCCCAAACTCCATTTTCCGCTACAACCACGAAAAAAAAAGTTTCAGCTAAGTGGGGCCCCAACTTCATTTTTCATCACATCGATTTAAAGAAGGTTCAACTAAGTACAAGTAGTGTACCAGGGGTGGGGGGGGGGGGGGGGGTTACCTTGGAGACTCTGTTCGCGTGAGGGCTGAGTGTGTCCACGATTTCTCGGGCGTCGTTCATCAAAGGCTCCAGGTCGGGCAGTTGGTCAATCCTGTCCACACTGATGGGCAAGTCGAGGTCCAGCACGAGGACTCCTCTCTCCGGGTCGAAGACGGTGATGGGGTTTCTGTACGTGGAGTCCACTAATTCCTTCAGCTCATCCTCGATGATTTCTTGCAAAAGTTTCATGAGGGTGTGGATGTTCTTTTGCAGGTTCTCCTCGACCTCCCAGTAGGCGTATGCCCATTTGGCCTGATAGAAAAAATATGGAATTATGGTTTCTGGAGTCAAGAATTTTTCTTGTACCGACACTCAAACATAAGACGGACGCGAAGTTCTTAAACGAAGAAATACATGGAGATTTGCAGTATAAAAATATTTTTAAAAAACGCAAGAGAAATTGTTCCTAACTCAAGAAATACTTTTCTTGGACATGGGAGAAATGGAGATTGACTGTAAAAATACCAATTTGCAATGGCTCTATCCTTAAAACTATCTCCAAAAACATAATATGTCTTACTACCCTTTCCCAATCATTCTCTTTCTACTTCATCTTCCTGGCCTTTCCAGTAGTCAGACGTTGCTTCTCTGCTCTTTCTTCAAACAAAAAAAAACCCCTCACCTCTCGTCATTCTTCGTGCCTTTGTTGTTTAAATTCCAAGCCAGATTTCTATGTCCTGTACTCATATTCTGTTGGGTCTCCCCCTTCCTCTCTGGCTGTCTACATTTTCAGAATATGTTTCTTGGGTAAATCGTGGCGTTTGATATGCTCCCAAAAATTCTTTTTTAGTTCCTTTCCGTTCTGAGTGTTGGCATTTCTTTCCTAAATAAGTAAGCGAATGCAGCATTGTTTCAACAGTACAAAAATATGATACAGAAACAAACGGGGGAATTATGGATATCGCCTTATTGTCAGAAGATAAGCCTAGATAAATCTTAATGAGCAAAGACTAATAATAATAAGGATCATTCTTCACCTCTTGGTAAGCCTCATTGCCAGTTTTCTCGACAGCGTTCCTCACTCTCTTCGGAAGGACGCGGAGAGCGGCCTTTGAGTACTGGCCCAGGTTCATGTTTCCGACATAGCGGAGGTTGTCTCTCACAGAATCCTGCATCTGACCCACGTAGGAGGCGTAATCGATGTCACGAAGGTTGTCGATCCTCTTTCGGAGGACTTCGAGATTGGGATGGTTGTACAGGTCCTGGACGCTCTCTGGAAAACGGTTTGTCAAACGATTACGTTCAGTTGAAAGATCAGAAACGATCGGCTGCTATTGATAAAGGTAATGAAAGTGGAAACTTATAAAGCCAACAATCAAAATCAATAATCACATGAAAATGCTTTGAAATAATGCTCTTTAGTGACAAAGAGTGGGGTTGTTTTGTTGTTGCTTTTTGTTGGGGGGTTTTGGGGGGAGGGGGGGTGCTTGTTTTGGTTTTTGCTTTGTTTAGTTGTTTGTTTGTTGTTGGGGGTTTTTGTTTTTTGTTTTTTGGGGCGGGGGGGTGCTTTTTGTTTTGTCTTGTTTCGTTTTTTAAAAAGATGTTTTACATCCCCATAGACACAATCTAGATGATTCAGGGGGTTGGCTGCGCCCACTGTGCCTTTAAGGGTAAACTTGGGCTGATGGGATATAGGCCAACTCACAGTTAGGTAGGCTTACGCATTTGTTAAGTTCTCTTGGTAGCATACATAGTTAATGTGTGCCGAATTTCTGAGCTTCAAGTTATGGTAACCAGAAAAAAAGGAACCAGTCACACACACACAACATTAAAATGTAAAGTTCTTTCAGTAACATGTGTAGTTCACTTGAGCCACTTTTCAAAGTCTGAAGTTTATGAATAAAGCTGCAGTTGCCAGAAAAAAAGGAACTAGTCCTCTAGGTAAGTAGATCGTGAAACGGATAGATGAAATCTTATTAATTAAAAGGACATCAGTTATATCAGTAGAGGGGAAACACGGAATAGACATACATAGCGAAATCAGGGGGGCACGGATATCTTCTCGTTATGTGCGAATTTGGCTATGTAGGCTACATGTTTACGATACAAACTATGTACATGTAAATTGAAGAAAAAAATCGGGATCTGAACATCTGTTCAGTATGTGTGTGTGTGTTCGCGCCTGTGTGTGTGTGTGTGTGTGTGTGTGTGTGTGTGTGTGTGTGTGTGTGTGTGTGTGTGTGTGTGTGTGTGTGTGTGTGTGTGTGTGTGTTCGCTGTATGCTTTCCAGATGATTGCAACAACTTACTGAATGCTTCAGCAGATTTGCCGTTGACGTTGAGAAGCCTGGCGTCTGTCTCCCTCAGGTATTCAATGCTAGCGATGACCATCTGGTCCAGCTCCCTCAGGGCGTCACCGATAGCGTCAGCGAGGGCCTGTCTCACGAGTTTGCTCACGGGGTACTGTCTCATCTCCTCCAGTTTGTTCGACACGGCCTGTAGGGCGGAGCTGTAGCTCTTGGTGTACTTCTCGTTCAGTTTTCTTAGCCCATCGCTGTGGGTTTAATAATAATAACGATAATGATGATGATGATGATGATGATGATGATAATAATAATAATA